GGTTCTCGCCAAGTTGCCCAGGCGGGTCTCGAACCCACGGGCTCAGGCAATCCACTCACCTCAGCCTCCCAAAGCATGGTATTACAGGCTGAGCCACCGAGCCCAGCTGATCAATGTATTTTCTGAAGCACAAATTGGATGACTAGAAAATACATGTTTAATAAAGAATGCTATAAGTTTTGATCACTTGACATAGGGAAATATAACACATTATAAATAATCCAAATTGCATGGAAACATAATTTTGGAATCAGAGGTACCACAGAAAAATTCAGTCCCTTCTTTTTATAAATGAGAAAATTGAGACAGCCAGTTAGTGAAAGGTCAAGATTAGCCCACAGTGTTACTGGTTTCCAATCAGACATCCCTTCTACTATATCACACAGTATACTTTTGCTAGTGTTAAAATCCAAACACAATTCCTTCTATTTTTTTCTAATGTTTAAAAAGTAATGACAAATCCCTGATTTATTTTTTCCAACAATAATCAGAATATTAGACTCATTCTTCAATATATTCTATAGATTGGCTAGTGATATTGAGATAATTAGATTTCGTCATTAGCACATATTAACTATAAGCAATTACTTTTGTCTTAAGATTTATTCTACTTCAAATTGTAGCTTAAAATATTCAAGACAGCCTTAACAATGGGACAAAAAATATTTGTCAACTATATATCTGACAAAGGTCTAACATCCAGAATCTACAAGGAACTCAATCATGCCAAAAAGAAAAAAATAAATAGCCCTAATAAAAAGTAAGCAAAAGATATGAATAGACACTTCTCAAAGGAAGACATATGAGTCGCCAGTAGATACATGCAAAAAATGCTCAGCCTCACTGATCATCAGAGAAATGCAAATTAAAACCACACTGAGATACCACCTAACTCAGTCAGGTTGGTCATCATCAATAACTCAAAAACAACAGATGCTGGAGAGTATGCAGGGAAAAGGGAGTGCTTCTACACTGTTGGTGGGAATGTAAACTACTAGTACAAGCTCTATGGAAAACAGTGTGATGATTCCTAAAAGATCTAAAAATTGACTTTCCATACGACCCAACAATGCCCTTTCTGGGAATATACTTGGAGGAACTCAAATCATTCTACAAAAAAGTGACCTATACAAATGTTTCTTTCAGCAAAAACATGAAATCAACCATGCTGCCCATTGAAAGTGGAATGGATTTAAAAAAATGTGGTACATACACACAATGGAATATTACACAGCCATAAAGGACAAAATTATGGACTTTGCAGCAACTTGGATGGATTTAGAGTCTATAATAATCAATGATATATCACAGAAACAAAGAACTGAATGCTATATGTTGTCACTGATAAATGGACCCTGGACACACTGTAATATTATAAGAAAGAGATTGGTAGTAGTGGGAAACTGTTGGGGGAGGGGAAGGGGCACACAACATACATAAGTGTACCTGATCTCAAACCAGGCAAAGCAGGGACCAAAGGGAAGCTCAAACTTTACCTGTAAAATAACTGTTTGTATACTCAATCCTAAATTGTACTCCATATCATTAAAATAAAATAAGATAAAGTAAATAAATAAAGATTTAAGACTCTATAAGCCACATTGTGACAACCTGTGGGTTTTCAATTTAAAATTTAAAAATTATAAGTGAAAGAAATTGTATTCAAATCTTGACTGATTATTTTTTTTCCTAATTAAATACGGTCAGTTACTCTAAAACTATACTAATATGGCAGCCACTAGCCACATGTGGCTATTGAGCATTTAAATGTGTGTAGTCAACATTCACATGAGCTATAAATACAAAATATACATCATGTATTTATGAAAAAAGGTAAAACACTCAGTAATATTTTTATATTGATTAGATGTTGAAGTGATAATATTTTCGATATAGTGGGTTACATAATATTACTAAAATTCATTTTACTTTTTAAAAGCTTTAAAATGTGTATACTAGAAACTTTAGAAGTATATATCTGGCTTGCATCATATTTATATTGGAGTGTTCTAAGCTACAAATAATAAATGTCTAGGTGCTACTAATAAATAGTCCATATATTCTCTAAGTAAAAGTTAGCATTATAAAAATTGCCTACATAATCAATAGTAAATTTCTGTGCTAAAGAAAAAAATGATATAAAAATATACTAAAACTAGAAATAAACTTTAGTTGGTTTTACATATGGATTGTTTACTAAATTTACATTTTTTGTTTTGGGTAATACAAAAACTAGTTTATGTTCTCTGCACACATATAAACTGTTAAGAAAGGAAGGTGGCCCAGCAGCACAGTAAAAACCGAAGTCAGCCTTTGCCTTTTTCAATCAATACATAGATGTGAGTTGACTTAATTAAAAACAAATACTGACACATGACATCATCATATACTCTGCAAATAGACACTAGACAATAACTTAAAAATTTTAGCAATTTAACATGAATGCAACAAACACGACATATTTATAATTTATACCTTTGCTCCATCTGAAATATTGTCCCAGTTTCCACCACTCAAAGAGAACTTCCCATTGCCTATACGCAGTAGTATCTCTTCAGGAGTATCATTGGGGCCATTAGCAAATGGAGTATAGCTATTAAAAAAATAGATGTTAATAGACATTTCATAACAATGAATATCAGACTACATGCAAATATTTACTTCAGCAAATTAATATCATTTAAAATGTATATTCACTGTTAGTATCAAATTTCATATTTCAAACAGTGAATTTAATCCTACTCAATTATAAAATAAAATAGTAAATAATAAATAATTAATAAAATAGAGCACCTTGCCAGCATTTGATTTTAATCAATGTAAAATAAAATAAAGGTAGCTTTTCATGTAACGCTACAGTCTTAAAGCCAGATCACAATAAAAAACAGAAATTTTATATTATCTCAGGTATGTTAGCAAACAAATACACCCACTATGAAGAAAGTGTTAATTTTTGTATGTTCATAATGTGTTTATTGTATTGGCTTAATTTACTCATTAGTATTTATCATTATCAGTGGAAACAGGTTAACAATATTTTTAATTCATTTTTATGAAAATTTGGTTAATTAAATGTTTACATTGGCCAGGCACAGTAGCTCACACCTGTAATCCCAGCACTTTGGGAGGCTGAGGTGGAAGGATTGTTTGATCCCAGGAGTTCAAGATCAGCCTTGGGAACACAGTGAGACCTTGTCTCTAGAAAAAAAATTAAAACTAAAAAAAATTAGCCTGCCATGGTGGTGCACGCCTGTAGTCCCACTTACTCAGGAGGCTGAGGTGGAGGATCTCCTGAATCCAGGAGGTTGAGGCTGTGATGAGCCATGATCCTGCCACTGTGCCACTGTATTCTAGCCTAGGCAACACAGTGAGACACTGACTTAAATAAATAAATATATATATATATATACATATATATATATACACACACACACACACAATATACATATATATGTATATACACACAATATACATATATATGTATATACACACAATATACATATATATGTATATACATATATATGTATATACACACAATATACATATATATGTATATACATATATATATACAATATATACATATATACAAAATATACATATATACAATATACATATTGTGTATATATATATATACACACACAATTAAAACTGCATAGCCATTAAAATTATTATTTACATCATGGATGGGAAGATAAATACATGAGGTTAAAGATGTTTTTAAAAATTAATTATAGAATGAAAAAAGGTGATCTTTTTCTTCCATTTTAAAAGATGGAACTGAAATTGCTATTCAGATTTGGGAATGGGAAAACTGATTAATGGTTAAAAGTATGAGGAAGATATTTTAATGTGTCAATGTCTTAATTTTCTTATGTAACAATTAAGGGAAAGTAACACTAAATACATGCACACATAATCACTTTTTGTTTAGTCATAAAGTAAATATTTGAAAGCAGTAAGTTAGCAATAATGTCCCATGGTTTGGAACTAATAATCTTAATTACATTTGATGTGCAAAATTTAACTACCTATAACTTCAGCATTTGCTGTGGTCTATAAACAAAAATTATACATAAGTTTGTACTATTTAAAAGTATACAAAATACACTGAATTATGTAACTATAACCAAACCAATAAACTATTTAGAGTAACCATTTTGTAACATATTTATAAAACTCTTGATATATCAATATATTTAAATAATACTAAATGCACTCTTTAAAATGTCATACCTAAGCATATTATTATTACTTGCGAAACTTGGCTTTTTCTTTTCACAACTTTCTTAGAATAATTTCTAGTCGTAAGTTTTCAGTTCTAATCAGAAGTGCTACTGATTATTAAAAGTAAAATAACACTTGCATTATTTGTAAATTATCAACATTAGCATAGTCCAAATGTTATTATATATATTTTGAGCTTTTCTTTATTCTTTTAAGGGAAGGCAGGTGTCTTTCTGCAGTTTAATATTGTTACTACTTAAATTTGTATAATCTTACTAAATGTCTATTGCCAAAGAGAGCCAGGAGTCAAGCAATTTTATAAACATCAACTCAATATCAACAAGTTCAGTGGGTAGATTCCTGGAGAAACATGCAATTATTATTATTTTTTTTTTTTTGAAGTTAAAGGACATTTTATTTACTGACAGATTAAAAACTGTAACTCCAGGTGGCGCAAAATGCACCACTGAACCCAATTACAAAGAACAGGTGTTAACACACAATGTTTAAGCAATGCTACACTTATTTTTGGCAAAGTGCTGTATTGTTCAGTCTGTGTACAAAACTGACCATCTAGGAACCAATCAGTATAAAAATTTCTATAAAAACAGAAAAAAATTTAGACAGTGGCTCAAGAAAACAAGCTGCCATTTATGCATAGATTGATGTACAGTATATAACCTAACCAGATGTCCCTTTTGAGTTTTCAAGTTGATGAAAATAAATTGTGTCCAGAAACACATGAGGAAGGCACATAGTACAGTCTACAATACTCTTCAGTCTCCATTACTCACGTCCTGTCCTTGAAAAGCAAATGAGTTTACAATTTTACTTGAGAAAAAAACAAAGCCACTTTTTTTTTAATAACACACACACTTATTAATTAAAGTTAAAAACCTCTGGAGGAAAACACAATCAAAAAGCAATCAAAAGCACTCATATGATAGAGAAAACATTTTCAAGAAGTAATGCACCCAACATAAAAAATACAAAATGTATTTAATTTTAAAAGTTTTATTTCCAATTGAAAAGTGCCTCTTAATTACTATTATCTTAACAGTGCCTCATTATATACTTTACTTTGCTTTTTTAATTGTATAAATAAGATGTGTAGTATTTTGTAATGCTTTTAAGTATGAAACACTTTTGATTATATAAGTTTCTTACCCAGCCAACATTGTGTAAAAAAGGACTCCTAAACTCCAAATATCACAAGCAGCATCATATCCCTGTTGCATAAGAACCTAAAAAAGAAATACTGATTATGTGGTGCTACTCAGTATAAACTCAATTTTCTCATCAAAAATAAGTTGTTTTGCTTCTAATAATCTTACAAATGTTCATAATATAAAATATTAAGTCATTTTCTTAACAACGTTAAAGCTAAAGTCTTCTGCAATTACCAAGCACTGAAAATAAGGGTATTAGTGTGGTGATTTCTGAAAGAACTAGAAATTGACCTTCCATATGATCCAGAAATCTCCCTACTGGAAATATACCCAGAGGAACTCAAATCATTTTACCAAAAAGAAACCTGCACAGGCATGTTTGTTGCAGCTCTATTCACAATAGCAAAAACATGGAATCAACCATGCTGCCCACTGAAACTGAACTGGATTTTTAAAAAGTGCTATATATACACAATGAAATATTATGCAGCCATAAAGGAAAAACAAATGGATTTAACAGCAATTTGGATGGATTTAGAATCTATCCTACTCAGTGATCTATCACAGAAACAAAGAAGAGAGTACAGTATGTTCTCACTCATAAGTGGACCTTGAACAATTATCATAATACTATAAAAAAGGAATTGGCAGTAGTGGGAAACTGCTGGGGAGGTGAGATTGTCAGTTGAGGGAAACTGCCAGGGGAGGGAAGGGTACATCTCATCAACAAGGGCACCTGCAAAATGAACATTTGTATATCTAACAGTGAATGGTACCCCACATCTTTAAAATAAAAAATCAAAATAAATAAAATAAAATAAAAATAAAATAAGGGTATTATTATAAGGTGATTAAGTAACATGAGTCATACCAAAGAATAACCTTGTAAGATGCATCTGCAAATTCTATGATCTTTCATACCTCTTTTTAGGAAACCACATAGAGATACACAGACATGTAAACTTAAGATTAACATATAGAGAGAGTTTAGTGTACTCTACACATAGTACTAAGGTTTTTAATTCTTATACAGACTCTATGAGGTAGATATTATTATTCCAAGTTTGAAGATGAGGACACTGAGGTGAGCATTAAGTAGCTTGCACAACACCACAAAAAAAGTAAGCAGTAGAACACACATTCTTTCTCTAGAGCCTGTGCTTTTAATATTTATGCTAACTGCTTCCTTACTACACAAGAGATGGTAAGATAATATATGGTCTTACAAAATCAAAACAAATGTATGTTTTACATACAAGGCTGATGTCTTGAAAAGAGCAGTATATTTCTGGACCACATGCAAACATTTGATAAATTCTGAATGGCTTCATTAACATTTCAAACAATCATTTAGGTAGCTAATTTTTGCTCCTGGGGGCAGTGTTAATAAAAATCAAATAATATATTTATTATATATTCATGTGAGATTTCGCTGGTGAAGTTAATAAAGTTTGTTAGAAAAATAAAGAGATGAAATTAGGTCATTTTTTTTTTAATTTAGAAAAAACAAGTCCACTGCTTAAGCCTCTAGGCCTATAAACAAAATAGAAACATTATTAATACATTAACACTGGGGATTGCATAACCACCAGCCTAGGCTTTTCATCTATAAAAGGCTAAAAACATGAATGTTCGGCTTTGACAATTGCCAGATATGAATAGTATGTAACTAAGTTAACATACAAGCTATGCTATTTTTTTCTCATCAAAGTATATTTATAAGAACACACATATGTGCAAAATTGAGATGTTAAAGAGGATATAAAATGTATATAACTGGCTTTTGTAAATAATACAAGTAAGGACTACAAAGGCCCTAATAAATAACAATGTACAGCTAAACCACTCACATCTCAGTAGATATAAGTTGGCATACTCTAGTAAAACATAAATCTCTATTGCTTTTATTCCTCCATCTCTTTACTTTCCCAATCACCTCTTACAGTTCTGGACATCACCACGTTTTCCCTAGTTCCCTTACAAAGCTTCCAAGGTTATCAAATGCACAACCAAGGTTGAGGGCCACTGCTTAGGAACTGGTTATTGGGCAAACATCTTATCACAAAAAGTCTACAAAGCAAGGATTCTGCCTAGTCTTCAATATCAATATCTTAAGGCCAGATTTAGTAAATTTTAAAATGATAAATTTTCATTATTAGGAAGTTGTTTTCTACATTTCTATTATTATTAGAAATATTTTTTCTAGTACATACTTTAAAATACAGAGTGATCGATACTATTTTTTTTCTTTATTTGATTATAAAGATTTGGGATACAAGTCAGGATTAGGTACATAAGCAGTCCACGTGTAGGTGAAGTTTGGGCCTTCAACTGGGCCTTACTTCCCCTGGTTAGGAATCAGGTACCCTTAGTGATGTTACGGTCCTCTCCTCCTCCCCTGGCAGTGTCCCACTACTGCCAATCCTTCTCTTGTAGTATTGTAATAAACGTTCAGGACCCACTTATGAGTGAGAACATGTGGTGGCATTCAGTTCTTTGTTTCTGTGAAAGATCACTGTCTTTAAATCCATTCAATTTGCTGCAAAGTTCATAATTTTGTCCTTCTTTATGGCTGCTTAATACTCCATCATGTATATGTACCACATTTTTTTATATAGTTCACTTTCAATGGGCAGCAGGTTTGGTTCCATGTTTTTGCTATACTGAATAGGACTAAAATAAACATGCATGTGCAAGTATCTTTTTTGTAAAATGATTTGAGTTCCTCTGGGTATATTCCTAGGAGAGGGATTGCTAAGTTGTATGGAAGGTCAGTTTCTAGTTATTTTAAAAATCACTACACTGTTTTCCATAGAAGTTGAACTAATTTGTACTACCATCACTTCTTACAGTTCTGGACATCACCACGTTTTCCCTGGTTCCCTTAGAAAGCTTCCGAGGTTATCAAATGCACAACCAAGGTTAAGGGCCACTGCTTAGGAACTGGGTAGATGAGGGTTAATCAGCAAGTTAGCTAGAGGTGTTTTATATTCCTATAACCCTCTTAGTTATGAGAAAGACAGAGTTGTACAGGAGGTGTAGAAGTGTTCCCTTTTCTCTGTACCCTAGCCAACTAGACTGATTGATATCAAAATACAAATGACTTAATGTTTATATGTCTGATGTGAATATTACCCTGAAAGGGCTAGTATTTGATATAAAAATAAAATCATAAAATATGTACAGAAAATAGAAATCTATCTTCAAATTATTTTACTCAGCTTCTCTTCTGATATGGTAAATTCATGTTTTTTCAAACCTGAAGAGTTTAAGGTATTTTGATTTGCATTTAACATGTGATAATTTATATCAGTGAGTACCATCTATAACATATAAGGATAGTTCCTGATTTACAAACAAAACTTATAAAGAATTTGCATGGTCAATGCCATCCCTTTATTAATTTTTCACCAACCTTACTGTCAATGCTGTGGGAGTTGCTAATGTCAAAGTTCCCATTCCCATGGTCAGAACTGACTGCTTCAGCTTCCCAAATATGAAATCTGTAACCTCTGAGTCTCCCCAGTATGATCCTCCCTTATTCTTTCCTCTAAGATCTGTGGATAATGTTAATTTTCCAAGAAAAATACTCAGTTCTTATAAAAACATCTGTGAGGGTTTTTCTCCAGAAGTTAGAAGATCCTAAAGACAACTGGAGATGGCACTGTCCTTATATGTTATTTACATTGCTAACTGGTATCAATTATCTCATGTTCAGTACAAACTAAAATATCTTAAAATCTATCCTGGCTTTGTTACTAAGAGAATGCTAGGTCTTGAATAAATTATTTAAATATGATGAGCCACAGTTTCCTCATTTATAATATGTAATAATTTAAAGTTGTGGCTATCTTTATCCTAGTCCCCAGCTCTAAAATGGTATGATTCCGACAATAGTATATAACCCAGCAGAATAGACTAGTCTGATTATTACATTCATATTGGTTTTAGATGCTAGTTCCCAGTCTGAATATTTATATGGGGGGTTATCAATATTCACTTATTTAAAGAACTTTATATTTGGGAAAGGACAAGACAACTAAGTTTTAACCTGCCCACCATAACATATACATGACATCATTCACATTTAACTAAAGGAAAACAATGAAAAGCAAATATTTAAGTTTTTAAAGAATACCTCAGGTGCTACAAAGTTTGCAGTGTAGCATGGAGTTAAGAGAAGTCCATTTTCTCCTCGAAGTTGTTTTGCGAACCCAAAATCACAGATTCTAATTGAATCTGCCTTGGCTGATTCATCCATGTATAAAATATTACTAGGTTTAAGATCACGATGAACAACCTTGACCATGAAAGAAATTAAGGTGAAATTTCTATTATTAACAAGATACCTGAGAAATAAAATATTTTAATATATTTCTGGAGAAAAATTAACAATTAAAAAATTTTGAAAATGATATTTTATCCAATCTTAATAGACTAAAATATACACAGGAAATTAACTTTATCAAATTGATGCTCAATTTCTATTTGTTGATCACCTCCACTCTCAAAATAGTCACACTCAATTCTCAGTTCCAATTTTAAATGCAATGGCCTAAAGACGCTGTCCAACATCCCCATCACTGCAATAAACAAATATAAAACCTGGATATAATACAAAAATCAACTCTCTGAAGGTACTGGACAATGGACAGAAGTACACAGACTCTGGTGAGGAGAACACACTTGGTTGGAGGAGGGAATGCAGGTAAACTATACAAGTAGATTCCCTTATCTGTGGCTTTTATGGGGTTAAGCTCAGTCCTTATGGTATACAGTGGTGATAAAGACACGTGGAAAAACACAGTTTTTTTGGCCTAGAAGATCAGACAAAAGAAGCTGGAAAACTGTAAATTCTGGAGTTGGGTAATATAAAAGAAAGAGTCGTAACTGATTCCTGAATCAAAAATGTGTGGAAGAGGGTCGAAGCAATTAATATAAAGACAATATGACCAAAGACCAAAGCTGTTGCCCCCAGAACAGAGTTTTCAGTTCAAGCCTATCCAAGAAATCTTCCCACTTAAACAAACAAAAAACAGTATCATCCATTAAAAAAAATAGAATACAAACATCTCTAAGCCCTAATATCATAATATTCAGAATACAATCCAAATTATCTGATATGCAAAGAACACCCCCCAAAAACAAGACACAGACTCAAGAAAAAGGAAATTCAATATATTCTGACTCCAAGATGAACCACGTTGGAACTAACAGACAAGGATTTTAAAGAGGTTATTTTATCTATCCTCAACAAAGCTAAAGTAAAAAAAAAGAAACAAGCTTTTAATGCACTAAACTCCAGGGGAAAAATGCAAAATCTCAGTAGAAAAACAGAAAAAAAATGAAGAACCAATGAAATGTAGAACTGGAAAAAATTCTGAAATTTCCTTTGTGATGATTTTCCTACTATGGCGTTCCACTTCATTTAATCTAGCCTTACCTGTAATCAGAGTTCATTACACTGAAAGGTCTTTAAAAACAAAAACCAAAGTCTTACTCATGTTTAAATCTGCAACACCTTTTACAATGCCTGGCATGTAGAAACGCTGAATATGTGTCCATTATTAATTTAGTTAATTGATGTGCGAATCTGAAGGCTTATAAAAGAATACATTAAAGAGGAGAAGCTTATCATTCTCCTCTTCTCAAAAGTTCTGGTCATGCTTCACATTATAAAGTGATAAAGACAATCAAGGAATTAAACTGTAATAGAATTATTTATTTAGCACTATACATTTCAAAATACTGAAAATATACTCTATTAAACCACACACAAATTGAGTACTAGCATATTTTTATTAATCAATAGGGCCCGTGTAGAATTTTTACTGTGTTAATTCTGAATTGTCATTTTTAAATTGTTTGTTATTAAGTTGGTACATATCCACTATTACAGCTGATTCAAACTTAAAATTTTAAATTATTTGCTACTTTGTTTCTTTGTACAGCTATAAGTAATAAAAGTTGACATTATGAGAGGAGTCAGGGTAAAATAGCAAGTCTGCTCCTTCACCACAAAATTTAATATAGTAATACTGCAAATGCTTAGAATACAAATTTCTAACTGTATTTACATGAGAAGTTGACAAGTGTCAAGATATATGATCCTTTCATTGCCAGAACATTATATGGTATGCATAGTATATTTGAATAATATTCACCATATGTCTTTTGGTAATTCTTTTATGTTTCACTTAAGCATGATTAGGTTTAATAATTACAAAGTTAAGGTTAGGTACATTTATATAATTCACACCATTTTTAAAACTACTATGCTATTAAATCAGGGCCACCAGGCAGAGAGTAGAAAATTAATAAAGCATTATCCAGTTTTCCAAATCCATAACCTTCACTACATTATGAGTTTCATTAAGGTATCATTTATTAAACATATGGGAAAAAAGCAATTCATTTTAGGTGGTATCATCTCCTACATATAATTTTGTAATATAGGTCCCAAAATTAAAGGGAAAATGCAACTACAACTTACTCCTTGACAATGAAGATAGTCAACTGTCTTAATTATTACATAGAGTACATCACTAGCCTCTCGTTCTGAGAAACATTTTTGTTTGAGAATACGGTCAAGTAGCTCTCCTCCTTTCATCAAATCTGTAACAAGGTATACGTATCTACCATCATCAAAGACCTAAAAAAAAAAAAGAGTGCTGTTATAAAACATTACTATTTACAGTTACAATTCTAAAATGTTTTAAATGATATTTACTTTTTAAAAAAATAACTTCTTGTATTAAAAGAAAAACATTATTCCTTTTATTTATTTATTCCTCTCTTTTGATATTATATAAGAGGAGTAGGGGCATCTAATACATAGGAAAAAAGAATTGAAGTGGCAATTTAAAGGTCTTGAGATTTTGTCGTATGGAATTAAATATACCAAAAGCATAAAAAGTTTCAATAACAAAAATAAAGCTCCATGTCATAACTTCATTAGCTCAGTTGATACCTGGATTCCGGGATTTAAAAATACCTACATCTTTTAAAGTAATAATGTTGGGGTGTTGTCCATAGCGCATCAAAATTTCAATCTCTTCTGAGGGGTCTCGTTTACTTTTGTCAATGATCTAAGAAATAAGATGAGAAAAATCTCAGAGGAAAGCAAATTATTTTCTTTGTCTAAAAATAAAAGAAACATTTTTGATGTGGTTATATTTTTAAACAAATACTTAAAACTCAAGAACAATGCTTATCTCATATTATCTTAACATTTAAAAATTTCCTATAACTAAAATGTAACAAAAAAATTCAAAGCACTTTAACATTATATCCCATTTTACTGAAACTATACTAAATGACAACTTGATCCAAATGTGATTGCAATTGTCACAATTATTCCATCTTAACATACTATATTCAAATAAAACTATTTGAATGCAAAAAAATTCTTGAAATACACTGTTTCTCAAAAATACAGACTTGAAAAGAAATCAAAATTAAAATATTAGGTCTTAGAATTCTTTCTCATCGTCTCATCTTTCCTGTCTTAATTTGCTCCACTAAAAATGTCTGTCAGTAAACCCATAATTTAAATTACACATATAAAACAAAGTTAGGCTCAGAAATAATACCTTCACTGCAAATTCCACGTTAGTAGTTGCATGTATGCATCGCTTGCAAACAGAATACGAGCCAACACCAATATCCTCTTTCAATTCATATACTTCACCAAATTGTGCAGCATTTCCATTTATCTATTTTTATAAAAAAGTAAAATACTAAAGAGAATGAAATATTTTCACATTTTCTATTTCATGTCCTAAATATACATTCATCTTAAATCTTAAAATCAAGAATAACTCATTCTAGATAAATTTTATCAACACTTATAAACGGCTTACACAAATTCTGAACCAATCCTTATTGTAGGCTTTCTCAATCCCCAAGACCAATACAATAAATCAACTAACGTATATTCCTTGCTTACATTTTCTTCAAAACAGACCATATAAATAAAATTAAAAGGTACTACTCTCTGCTCTTTTCTAAAACACATAGAAACATCTTTAATTCTTGATTATGAGATAAAGTAATTGAAAATCACTTTAAAAATTCTTAAAAATCCATCAGTAAAAATGAAGAGAAATAATTATCCCCAAGTTGATATATCCCTAAACAAAATAGTGTGATTAAGTAGAATTTACCTGAACAATTGGGAATACATTTGCACTTGTGATAGAAGTGATTTTATATTCTTCTGCAATAGATGTTGCAACAAAGCTAAATCCTTTGAAGAGCTGATGAGCATTTGCACTGGCTGGCAAACCAGGAGAATCTAATATTTAAATAATTATATTTAATTAGAACTACACAGAATCCAATGATATAAAATGTCAGAATTTCTTTAAATACAAAGGAAGCCATTAAATATCACCATCTGACATATTATGTATTTGATTTATTATATATTATCTTTCTCCCCCACCAGTATACATGCTCCATGAGGACAGTAATTTTTGTCTGTTGTATTCACTGCTGCATCCTCATTACACAGTGTGTAGTAGGCATTCAATATTTGTTGAATGAATGTATGAAACAGATGTCACTGAAAGTACAACACATTAATACTGACCTGTAAGAGTCAGAGTAATATATTTACTGTCTTACCTTCTACTCCCATCCGCTAAATCATTAGCATGTCAAAGGACTTATAAAACAAGAAAAATAAATTGTCACCTTTTGCCTAGTCCCTGCTTCTCTGATAAATATTTATCAGAGTCTCTACTCAACAGCAATGTTGAATCTAGGTTCGATACTTCCAGAAAGGTAAACCAATCCTCTACAAACTTACCAAATTTTTAGTTTTTATCTAAGAGAATGCTTTATTTTTTAACTATCTAATGGAATAAAAGCTCTGATTTTGTATATAAACATGTATTACCTTTAGGTGTTTTTGCAGTAAACTCAGGATCAAAACAAAAAGTATCATCTGGTTTTCCAGAAGCGGGTTTGAAAGGAGGTTGAACTTCTCTTTTATATAATTTCTAGAAGAGGCAGCAGGGTAGCACAAAAACATATCAACACTTTTAAAAAAAATCATTATACTTTGCAAGGGAAAGTTGAACATAATATTCAAAGTCCTTAACAGAGAAAATAATTTCATTAAAAAATTTAAACAGGCTTCAAGAGACGCATTAACCAAATTTTAAAATTTTGAGAGATAATGTCCAAAATTTAATTAGGTCAGAAGGCACAGCAGTGATGCCACCGGTTGTATTCACAAGGAATAATGATGTTCAATTTTGTATATCAAAAACTGATTTGTATGCTTATTGATATATAATCATACAGATACAGCAAAATGTTTCCACGCAGAAATAACGAATAATGCTCAAGGCTTTCAAAATCACTACACTATTTTTAAGAAGTATGTATTTCATCTAAAATATTTTGTTTTCACATAAAAATAACAATAACTGTTCTGTTTAGGCTACTATAATAAAATTAGAATATTTAGTGTTATCTAACAATCTAACTTGCTAAAATTTATATTTTTGAAAGGCATAGAAAATATCTTCAAACATATGAAAAAGTCTTTTTTTTTTGAAAACCTACATTTTTAAAAGCTCACAGTTCCACAGTCAGGAAAAAATCAATAGAGAATTACTTTAAAGTAATTTTCATTTATTTAAATATGTAAATATTCCACTGAATTATTATTTAAGTTAAAAATAATGAACATCTGCTCTTCAGTTTCTTTGGTCATATTAACATAAAGTTATTCAATAGCATACTTTCTACTCAACTTACATTCCAGTCAATATTTGCAAAAAAAAGATGTCTTTTGATTTCCTCAACTCCTTCTGAACCTATCAAAATAAAAAGAATGTTTTATTTATTTATTTTTTTAATCTTGCTCCCTGGCTTCCAGTCTGTTATTTGTAAACAGGAGTACACACATTTTGTAAATTCCTGGAAGTGAAAAGTCTATGATTTCATATCCGGCATTTTATTAATTGGTCCTTTCACTTTATTATGATTTAACAAAACTGATGTTCATATTGAACTAAGAGGGTACCCTGAACTAAGTGCCTCCCAAATCAAATCAAAATAATATTCTACAAATATTGAAATTTGAATATATTTTATTTCCTGCATAAGTTATGTTATGATCACATATTTATATGCCAAATTAGAAAGTACAAAAAAAATAAAATGACATTAAAATTTTAACATAAGGACATAAATAGAATAATAGTATCAAATCCAGATCCAGGAAAAAGCCACCAAAAAATGGTCAAAAAAATGAGCAGTTATGGAAAAATATCTACTTTAAAGAATATTGGGAGGGTCAAAATAAATATCTTCAAACAGCTAAAAGGATTACTTATGCAAAGGAGAATTTTGAGAATTATTTCAAAAGAAGTATTCCATTTTATGTACATAATAATATATGTTAAACAGAAGCTTTGAGTTATTAACAAGACCACTTCATTTTTCGATCATGGGCATAACAGAATGTACTGTTTCTGAAAAGGACACAAAAAATAAATATTATAGTTATAAATACATAGCAGCAGTAATAAACTCAAATCAGAAAAGAAAAAAGTATAATTATCCTCCCAACAGGCAGATTTTTCTACAAAAACTAAGAAAATAAATAATACCTAATCTATTTGTTGGATTCCTTTTGAATAGCATCCTTAGAAGACTTTGTGCTTCAGCACTAAGAAACTGAGGCATTCCAAGTTTTGCTCTGGAAAAGAGAATTTAAGAACATTTCACTTAAATCTAGCCATATTTTTATGTTGACAAATTTCAAAAAAAAATTTCAGTGTTTTTACAATGGCAAATAATATCCCCAATATGGTAGAAGAAGGGAATAAAACAGCATGAAACATGTTCTTTTAAAACCACAATAATTTCCCGAAACTGAAAGCAATAGATTTTTTATTCTCAAAAGAGATAGTGTTTACACTTACTTTAATATCATATTCATTGTCTCATTTCTGTCTTTACCTTGAAATGGCAGAGTACCAGTAAGCATTTCAAACTAAAAAAAAATAAAAATAAAAAAAATAAAAAATACCACTCAGTCAGTTTAGCACAACTGATACAATTATTTAGAAAAAACTTGAGACATACTGCATGATCATCAAATCATGCAGGATCTATGAGGGGAAGCCCTCCCACCCCTCCAAAAAAACGGAATTCCCTTTTGGAGGGTAAGAAGCCCTTTGTAGGACACTCAGAATTTGTTTCTCCGGATCAGACAACCAAAGTTTTTATCTGGAAGTTTTGTGAAGTTGTATCACAAGTTGTGGAAGAAACACCTGAACTGTTGCAAGTGGGTGACTGGTTCTTCCACCATGACAATGCACCTGCCCACATGGCACTGAGTGTTCTGCAGTTTTTGACTAAAAATGGCATGACCCTAATGGCCTGGCACCCCTATTCACCCAAACACGCCCCAAGCAAATTTTTTTGTTGTTTCCCCAGATGAAAAAAATTCTCAAAAGGGAACATTTTGCCCTTGTGGAAGAGGTGAAGCAAAAAACGTCAGAAGCAGTAAAAGGCATCAAAATTGACAAATTCAAAAACTATTTTGAATAGTGGAAAAAGTATCTCAATATATTGCGTCAAACAGAGTACTTTGAAGGTGACTGAAGTTTAAATATGTAAAAATAAATACACCATTTTTTATAAAGAAATTCTGTGTTTTTTGGGGTCCCCCTCATACATGATACTGGGTGAAAATGGGACCAGAAAATTAAACTAGTCACTTAAGGAAATATACTTCTTGTAACCCACTATATTTATATAGCTTAACTGATAGGTGACCTGTAGATAGAACCAACTTTGTTTTATTTTCTTTTCTTTGTTTCTTAGTAATTTGGCTAAATTCCCAAAGCCAAAGCAATTTGAAAATACATACAAGGCATTTAAATAAAAAGATATTCTTTTAAAGCCAACATTTACTAATAAAGTAAAAGGAAATATAAGCACAAAGTCATTTCAAATTCATACATGCCCAAGAATGATTTAAGCATTTTCATCCCCCTCACTACTCCACAAATAAAAACCAAAAAGAAGTAGAAGCAGATCACACAGAACACACACACACACACACACACACACACACACACACACACACACACACACACAACACTTTTAAAATAGAAATAAATATGCCTTAGTTATACATAGCATAAGGAAAACATTTTCCCAAAGAGAACTGATTGCAATGTAGATAACTAGAACATTAAATAATGATATTTTTAAAACACTACATCTGAAAATAATTTAGTTCACTAAAGAGAAGTTTTAATATCTATAATATTTAAATCTCAAGCTTAGATTCAATAATAGCTATGGCCTCAGTCTTCTACTCATTTACCTGAACTCACATACTAAATTAACTTATCTATTCAACTCTCTCATACCTCGATGACTCCCAAATATGCTGTTCCAGCCTTAATCTCTTTCAAACTCCAGTTTTCCTTTCCAAATCTCCAGTAATGGTATGTCACTAGGACTGGAGGGGTAGAGGTGGGAGTGGCAGGGAGAGAAAGAAGAAGGGAAGAAGGGTATTTAAGAATCATACCTCCCCTCAAAGAAACTACAGGTTAGGTAGTCAAGTGATGGGATTATATATACATATATATGTACTTTTTTTAATAAGGTCTCCAAATTATTCTAATTCTTTCTCTACTGATCCTCCTAATTTATCAATACTTGGGGTTAGACACTAACCTATAGTAACCTATGCTACATGTTTAAAATAAATTACTTCTCCAATTGTAAAACCAGCTGTCCTCAGCTATCTCTCTTCTATTGACCTACCATTCCTTAACATTTATAAATTTTAGAGGCATCTTTATCTTTGGTCCTTCCCTTTTGTCTCATTTGTGTCATTTTATCTGCTAAGGTTAGTTATTTCTGCCTGTTAAATGTCTTTAAGATTTCCTTTTATTCTATAATCTTACAATTCTCTTGTAAGGAGACTTTTTTGGTACCCTTGCTTCTACTTTTTCATTCCAATCAATTTATATAATGCTGCCAAGGCTAATCTTCCTAAAATATTTTTTTTTTCTCTAATTGCCACCCTGTGTAAGAATCTACAATAGTTTCCTACTACCCAGAGAATCACTTGCAAATGCTTACTGGTTTATAGTTTCACTTCCTTACCTTCACCCTCATTCTCCACTACTCCAGTCAAACTGGCTCTCCAAGACTATGCTAATTTAATTACAATAATCTCCCTTCTTGACACACAACTATTTAAATTTATCCATACTTCAGGGCTTAGTTTAAGTTCCGATTCCTCCAATTTTTCTTTACCAACTTGTATTAAATCTTTCCTGAACTCCTAAAGCATTCCTTAACAGTTTAGCTATTTCTATTGTTTCCCCAACCAGATAGTATGCCTTCTCTGGTCTTGGAAAATGCAAAAAATTGTACTTTGAATCAGTTTCCATTTCAAAGCTCTCCCTAGATGTCAGGCTTATAATAGCCAATGGATATAATGATGTCTCATACAGTGTGCCATTCTGTGATAAAAAGGAAAAATGAAGCACACTTTGGAGCAAATTATATCTGATTCAATAGTATTCATCTATCATCCTACTGACTACTGAAAATTCTGTGCTTAATCTCATACCAAGTTAGTCTCTATTAAGCATCTATTGAAATATTCACTATGCTAGGTACTATGGGGGATAAAAAATAATATAAGATATAATTTCTCTCCTCAAGAGGTTTATAATCTTTCTAGGACATGTATGAAACAATTTGACAATAAGACAGTATATGATCCTGACTTGTATCTCACATCTTTAATAAAATAAAGTAAAAACAAGACAGTATAAGATGCTATATCTAATTAAAATATCATTAACTGCTCAACTCAGCATTCTAAAATCTAGAATCTGATAGGCCTTTCTTTAAGTATCAAATATGAATAGATTTTATAACAATGCTGTCATTTACCTTTTGATTAGTAGCTTTTAAATAAATCAGAACACTCAAACCCTACTTCTTAATGTATAATTAATCACAAGTTTTTAAAGGTTAATTATGAATTATCAGAACCCCTTTCTTACCTGATACTTTCCAAAATCTAAATTAAAATAAAATTCTAAGTATATTAATCATATGTTGGCATAATTAAGAAATATAATTCTACTTACCATAAGTACACCATATGACCACCAATCAGCACTCTGTGAATGGCCTCTCCTATTAACAACTTCAGGAGCCATATATTCTACTGTACCACAAAATGAGTAAGCCTTCTTTTCTTGATCTACTGACTCCTTGCTGAGTCCAAAATCTATAATAACAGTGTTACAAAAAACATATATCTGAAAAACTTCAGAAAATATCAAAGCAATGTATTAAACATTAAAACTATTTATGGATGGCCTATAATTACTTTTATGAAAGCTCCTGTGAGATCAAAAATAGAAAATAGTCTGCATTTTATAATGACACTCTTTAAGAACATTTAAAGATTGCTCCATTAAATCTCATCCTGAAAATGCATGCTTTCAGGTCTGCACTAGAATATCATGCAATGGTTTGGGGAACAACAACTAAATCCAGACTATCATACTGAGCTAAGTTCTAAAACAGACCCAGATAAAACAGAGATAGTGACATATATATTTTTTAAATGTTAAAAAATCAAACTTTACTTTGGTTTTGGTGAGTTCCATTTTGTTTGAAATCTTCAAAGAGGTAAAGATATCAATATATATGAATCAATCCTATTTCTATATATTAATAATGAACAATTGGAAGACAAAATTTTACAAGTGTCATTTATAATACTGGCAAAAAAAACCCCAAACATGAAATCTACAGATAAACACTAGGTGAACACTAAAATTGCACCTAGCTCAGCTTAGCAAAATAGAAATACATAAAACATTTACCAGCTATTTCAGTCTATCATGATTGTTATGAGCCACTCTTGTCCACCTCTAAAGTTATCAATTTCCTTCCAATTTTAGATCATCTGTCTTTCACTACTTAAGTATAACACAAACTGCAACCTTTCTGACACCCACTCCCACAAGCAAACTTCAGTTCTTTTTCAAGGTAAGATACCATTATTTATTGTAGTCATCATTTATTTCTTAATCATTTAAAATGTGTAAAACAGAGCTACCATTTTTACTTTATTTTTAGGGTGTTACTGATTAAAGATTTTAATGTTATACCCCTTATTGCATTTTCCCCATAAGTCTTGTGGTTTTTACTATGATTAAAACGACATATGTCACATTATAACAGAACTAGCTGTATATTGTCGACTGATTTCTGGCAAAGGTGCAAAAGTAATTCCAGGAAAAAGGCAACCTTTTCAACATACAGTGACAGAAAAAGTAGGATATAAATATAGAAAAGTCTATTCTCACACCATAAGCGAACATTAACACAAAATGGGCCATAGACCAACATGTGAAACCTAAAATTATAAAATTTCCAAAAACAAAGAAAATCTTTGGGATCCTTTGTTAGCCGAAGATTTCTCTGTTTTTTTTTTTAATTTTTTTTTTAATTTTGAAGATGTGGGGTACAATTCAGGGTTAGGTATATAGATGTTCATCAAGCAGATAACCCTTGTCGATGAAGTGTGCCCCCCTCCCCTGGCAGTTTTCCACTACTGCCAATCCTGCCGCCCCTCCCCCCCGGCAGTTTCCCACTACTGCCAATCCCTTTCTTATAGTATTATAACTGTTCAAGGTCTGCTTATGAAACCTAGCTATGTCATCAAAAGTATAATCCATTACAAATGTTTGTAAACTGAACTTCACCAAGATAAAAGAGTTGTTCTTCAGAATATACTGTTAAGAAAATAAAAAACAAGCTACAGACTGGGAGAAAATATATGAAAATCACATATCTAGCATAGGATCTAATTCAGAATATATAAAAACTCAAAATTCAATAACATAAAAACAAACAATCTGATTTTTTTAATTGGACAAAAGATCTACATAGACATTTCTCCAGGAAATAAATACATGAAAAGATGTTCAGTGTCATTAGTTATTAAGGAAATTCAAATTAAAACCACAATGAGTCATCACTTCATGCTTATTAGAACAGCTAACTTTTTTTTTTTAATGCTTACAATACCAAGTACTAGTAAGGATGTAGAACAACTGGAGCTCTTATACACTAATGGTGGATATGCAAAATGGTACAATCACTTTGGAAAAGGTTTTGGAGGTTTCTCACTAAGTTAAATACACTTAGCATATGGCCAAGTAAGCCACTATTTGGGTATTTAGCCAAGTAATACAAAATTTTCTGTTTACATAAAAATCTGTACATGAAGATTTTTAGTGGCTGTGTTCATCATTGGCCAAAACAGAAAACAACCTAAATGCCCCTTAATTGGGGAGTAGATAAAGAAACCATAGTACCACCATAAAATGGAACACTACTTAGCAATTAAAAAATAAATCATTGATACACACAACAATATGGATAAACCTCAGATGCATTATGTTAACTACATGAAGTCAAACTCAAAAGGCTTTATACTATAATCCTGCTTATATTATATTACATAAAGGCAAAATTATGGGGACAGAAGGCAGCGTGGTAGTTAGCTTTGGGTAAAGGGAGGATTGACTTACAATGGGATAATTTTGGGGTTATGGAACTGTTCTACACTTTTATTTTGAAGGTAGTTACGGAAATGCATTTGTCAAAACTTGCAGAACTACATACAAAAAGTTATTTAAAAAAATTAACCTTTATATTTTGAGATCACTGCAGATTTATATGTCGTTACATGAAATACTACAGAGATACCATTAATACTGTACCTAATTCGCCCCATGGTAACATCCTGCAATAATATAGAACAAAAATATAAGCTAAAATATTGGCATTGATGTGGTCAAGATATAGAATAGCTATATCACTAAAAGGAATCAGAAGAATGAGTTTTACTGTACATATATTATACCTTAATTTTTTAAATAAAAAAGCCATAAGTCCTAAATTGCTCTTTTACAATACAATATCAATGTTAACACTTAATTTTAGGACACCTCAAAACTGATTTTCTAACCCTTCTCATATTTTCATCAGTAACAGAAACAGTATGATACTGGAACAAAAATAGACACATAGACCAGTGGAACAAAATAGAGAATTCAGAAATAAAACTGGTAACCAACAACTAACTCATCTTTGACAAAGCCAGCAAAAACAAACATTGGGAAAAGGACACACTAGTCAACAAATGGTGATGGAAAAACTGGGTAACCATATACAGAAGAATAAAGCTGGACTCCTACCTATCACCACATATAAAAATGAATGGAAAATTTATTAAAGACTTAAACATAGATCCCAAACTATAAAAATCTTAAAAGGAAACCTAGGAAACACTCTCCCAGACATTAGCCTAGCCAATAAGTTCATGAGCAAGTCCTCAAAAGCAAAGGCAGCTAAAACCAAAATTAACAATGTGGAACCTTATTAAGATAAAACACGTCTCACAGCAAAAGAAGCCATCAATGGAGTAAAGTGACAACTCAAAGAACAAGAGAAAATATCTGCAAATTATGCATCTGACAAAGGCCTAATATCCAGACTCTATAAAGAACTCAAATGAATCAACAGGGAAAAAAATCCATTAAAAAGTGAGCAAAGGACATGAACACACAGTTTTCAAAGGAAGATATATCAGTGGCCAACAAACATATGAAAAAATATTCAACATCACTAATCATCAGAGAAATGTAAATCAAAACTACAATGACATACTACCTCACACCAGTCAGAAGAGCTATTATTAAAAAGTAAAAAAAACAACAGATGTTGGCAAGACTGCAAAAAAGGGGAAATGCTCATACACTGCTGGTAGGAATGTAAGTTAGTTCAACCTCAGTGGAAAGCAGTATAGAGATTTCTCAAAGAACTAAATATAGGTTTACCAATAAACCCAGCAATCCTACTTCTGGACATATATCAAAAGAAGCATACATTGTTCTACCAAAAATACACCTGCAGTCATATGTATATCACAGCAATATTCACAGTAGCAAAAACATGGAAGTAACCCAGGTGCCCATTGACAGTGGACTAGATAAAGAAAATGTGGGGTGTGTGTGTGTGTGTGTGTGTGTGTGTGTGTGTGTGTATACATATATATATACACATATGTATACACACACACACCATAGAATACTATACAACCATAAAAAAGAATTAAATCATGTCCTTTGCAGCAATGTAGATGCAACTGGAGCCCATCATTCTAAGTGAATTGTCACAGAGACAGAAAACTGAATACTACATGTTCTCACTCATAAGTGGAAGCTAAACACTGGGCACATACAGGCAGAAGGATGGGAACAACAGACACTGGGGACTCCTAAAGGGGGGAGGAAAGAGGGGAGGAGGAATGAGGGTTGAAAAATCACCCATCGGGCTGGACACCATGCTCATCACCTGAGAGGCAGGCGCATTAGAAGCCCAAACACCACCAGCATGCAATAGTAAGTAACAAACATACTATGTACTATGTAACAAACTTGCACATATACCCCTTGAATCTAAGATAAAATAAAATTTTAAAAAATCATTTATCCTTGTATAACAATGCATTATAATTTTCAGTATAATTTTAAAAAGTCTTTTCAATGTACTACTATGCTATTTTTCTGTATTTTGAGACAAACTCTACATTCAATTTAGAAAACTAAATGTAATGAGAGTCTTTGAGGTCAGTTCAGCTGAATACAACATTGCTCATAGAGAGGATCGCTGACTTCTTTGGCTATTCCAGAAAGAGGGGGAAAGGGAAGATAACTTTCTTATCCTTCTTTTACCTTTCAGAGATTTATGCCAATCCATAGAGCTCCTTTGCCATGCTGCTATTTCTGACAAAATTGATATTTAACAACTAGAATTAGACAGCAATCAATTGACAAAAATTTTACAATTATAAAACTGGATCCAAGATTAAATAAGGCCTATGTTACACAATGGTTTGCCCAAACCATGAATTGGAAAATAAAATGTAGAATTAAATATATACAGAAAGTTTTTTTTGGGGGGGTGGTGAAGGACAGTATTTCACATCTTTATAACCTTAAATAACTATTTTATAAGAATTTAAATTTTAAAAGCATGTCTGGAACAATAGTTTGATGAATATTTACTGTAGGTAAAAGTAATCTCAGTGATTCATTTGCAAGTAACCATAAAAACTACTTAAAATTATTTTCTTATGTATACATTTTTCTCTCAAATACTCAGATCAAGTACTGTTTGATTTACATTTCTAACCACTGTGATTTTTTCTTCCCTCTTTTTATATGTTGCCCCTGAATCATATTTCTCAGAGAACACATAGCAACCGCAGAAAGTTCAAATCAATTCTGTGCTCAGGTTATAATTTTTAAGGAATATTATGATTAAACATTTTTTTCTAAAGGGTCAGACAGATTAAATAGTAAGTTTTTATATAGACTATGGGAGTGATGTATTTTTTTAAATTAAGGCTTAAAGACAATGTGAACAATACAAGAAGGGCCCCAAAACCCCGGAATTCATTTATAAAAATTGTGTATTTATTCTTACATGTTTAATCTTCAGTCACTTCAAAGTACCCTCCATTTGATACAAAACACCTATCGAGATGCTTTTTCCACTGCTCAAAACAGTTTTCAACTCGTTAATGTGAATGCTTTTTAGTACTCCTGTCATTTTTGTTTCACCTCTTCCACATTGGCAAAACGTTTCTCTTTGAGGACTTTTTTCATCGGGGAAACAAAAAAGTCACTTGGGGCAAGATTGGGTGAATGGGGGGGCACAGGGATCATGCCATTTTTGGTTAAAAACTGCTAACACTAAGTGTGTTGTGGGCAGGTGCATGCATAAATCACCCATCATGACATGGGCAAATGCATTGAAAGAATCTCCCTCCCCCCCAAAATTCACTGAGACTCAACATGTCACAGTAACACTAGCTGGTACACTGATATCAGTGAGTTCCTAGAACACTTACCTAAGTGGGGGAAGTCTGTGGTACAAATGTCCCACCCTCCAAAAGACAATTCTGTATTTTGTTTTGTTTTTTGTTCCCCTCTCATATATTAGCAAGTAAGCAGATATTTGGAGATACCGACTCTCATTCTACTCACCTTCTGCTGCTATACAATGAGAATTTCAGAATGAAGCAAATGAGACTCAGTGTGCAACTATAACAGCACCCTTTCTATAATCCACTGTTATCTCAGATTAGACTGCTAAACATTAGTTCCATTCCTTATGTCTGAAGGATTTAATTTTTTAAATTTTTTTATTTTAAAGATGTGGCATACAATTCAGGGTTAAATATACAAACATTCATTATGCAGGTATACTTGTTGATGAGGTGTGCCCCCCCTTCCACTGGCAGTTTCCCACTACTGCCCATTCCACTACCCTCTCCCCTGGCAGTTTCCCACTAGTGCCAATCCCTTTCTTATAGTATAATACTTGTTCAAGGTCCATTTATGAGTGAGAACATGTGGTACTCAGTTCTTTGCTTCTGTGATAGATCACTCAGTATTATGGACTCCAAGTCCATCCAAGTTGCTGTGAAGTTCATAATTTTGTCCTTCTTTATATCTGTATAATATTCCATCACGTATATGTACCCCTTTTTTTTTATCCAGTCCTCTTTTGATGGGCAGCACGGTTGCTTCCATGTTTTCGTTATTGTGAATAATGCTACAATAAACATGCATGAGCAGGCATCTTTTTCATAGAGTGATTTGAGTTCCTTCGGGCATATTCCCAGTAGGAGGATTGTGGGGTCATATGGAAGGTCAGGAGTATAAACTAGTATGTCTGGAGGATTTTTAAAGTAGACAGGTAAGAAAAAAAGAGACTGCCATTCTCCTAGGATATTCTGAGACAATACAGAATGCTGAAGAAGACCCTGTTTAGATGAGACAGTCCTAAATTTAGTCCACATAGAGTCTACTGGTATCAATGACAAATAGCAATTGATCCGGTACTTTCAAGTACAGTATTCAAAATTGAAAGAAGGAAGTGGGCTGGGCTTGGTAGTTCAGCCTATAATCCCAGCACTTTGGGAGGCCAAGGTGAGTGGATTGCCCGAGCTTGCCTGTTCAAGACCAGCCCAGGCAACTTGCCAAGACCTCATCTCTACAATAAATAAAAAATTAGCTGGGCGTGGTAGCACATGCCTGTAGTTCTGGCTACTTGGGAGGCTGAGGGGAAGAATCACCAGAGCCCAGCAGGTGGATGCTGGCTAGGGTGGCCATGAACGTGCATGCCACTACACTCCAGCCTGGGTGACACAGTGAAACTCCAACTCAAAAAAAAAAAAAAAAAAAAGAAAAGAAAAGAAAGAAGGGGATAGGAAGAGATGGACAACAGGAAGGAAAAGTACACAGATGGTAAGAAAGGAAGAAAAAAAGAAAAAAAATTAAAGGGAAAGGCAAAAATAAATAAATTAAAAGAAACAAAAAATAAAAAATAAAAATAAAATACTCACTGCGAATAGTCACACCTTGACCAACCTCATCAGAATATTATGAGTTTGAATCTTGTATTACTCTTTATAAAATCTTAAATGAGGTTAAATCATAAAACTGTAAATTACCTAATGTTTATTATTGCATAGTTCCTTTAAGTGTTCATGCCATCATAAGAAAAATAGACTGAACTGTAAAAAATCTATAAATCACATTTTTTCCTGCTACATGCTTTGTGTCCCTTGCTTCTAAATTAACATTTATTCCATTTACTCTTCCCTACTCAGTCAGTTTAATTCTCTAGAAGCTATAAAAAGCAGAATTCATATAAGAATAGTAAATATAAAACAACTTTGCATTATTATTCATCCAACTAGCCCTAATGAAGGAGAGAGATATATGTAGGGTTTGTTCTACTTTTTTTCCCACTTCCCTTTCTCACTTCTGACAAAACTTGTATAATTTTTGGGGGAAAAAAAATGGAAGGATGAATTAAATTCTCATTAGTTTTGCAAGTTTAATTGTTGTAAAATAAAAATTTATGTATTATATAAAAATTTCAAAACTCTATTGTTCTCTCATACTTTTTTCCTTTCCTTTTCCTCTTTGAATATCAAATCCACATCACTTCTATAAAAGAAAACGGGAATCTGGCTATGAAAAAATAAGATTTGCTAAACTTTATTTGAACTGTGTCACATTTACTTCAGCTTCCAAGGTAACAGCTTAGTACTTTATTTTTACATTGATGCAATGTACTTAGAAATTTAAGGAAACTTACCTTTAAACTATACCTGTTCAAGATTCTTTGTAAACATCACATCTTCAGTTTATCTCTATTCTAACATTTCAATAATGAGATATAGAATTTACTGTCTATTGAAAACATATGTGACCTTTTTGAGATTGGTTCTCTTAGAGAAACATCCTTGAAATCCATTCAAGTTGTTGGGGGTGTTAACAGTTCTTTCCTTTTGATTGCTGAGTAGTATTCCATTGTATGGAAGTAGCACATACTTCCATTGTATGGAAGTAGCACATCCTCTGAAGAATATTTGGGACATTTCCAATCTTGGGCTATTACAAATAGAGCTTCTATCAACATTCATATACAGGTTTTTGTATAACCATAAGTTTTTATTGACCTAGGTTAAATACTCAGAAGTATGACTACTGTATGGTTCTATTTATATATTATTCTCAAAATAACAAAATTATAGACATGTAGAAAACATAAGTAGTTAACAAGAGTTAGGGAAGAGGAATGGTGTCAGTGTATTTCGAATGTGATGACTACTTATGATAAATCTTTCTGTCTGGACCAAAACTAAGATGATGTATTTTTACCTAGAAAACTAAATGTCATTTATTAATTAGCATAAATGCCTCTATTTTACAATTTTTTAATAATACAATTAGAACATATTGAGAGCTATCTAACTTTTAAATGCAATTTAGTTCACTAAGGAGAAAAATAAAATGCAAATCAAATTAAGAAAGAAAAAATATAGACTTAGATAGATATTAAAATAATAAAAAATTTCAAACAATTGGCTAAGTGTAAAATAAGGAAATATGCATACCTGTTAATTTGATATGTCCTATTTCATCAAGCAAAATGCTGTAAATCAAAGTTCATATTCAACAAGATGGAACAAAATATTTTATATAAAACATTTATGTAAGAATCATCATAAACTTAATAAAAGTCGGTATCTATTTGATATATTAGAAAAATTTTAAATGATTGATTAGCAAATAAAGTCAATGTATATCTTAAAAAGATTACTTTTTAAAAGTTTCATATAATTCATATAAAATTTCATATAATCTTTAAAAGACTTAATAGAGTATGCCAAATGGTAGTTCTAGAAATATAGAAAACAGTGATACACAAAAAGAATACAGATTTACTTCTCTGGCTTCAGGTCTCTATATACAATTCCTAACTGGTGCAGGTGATCCAAAGCAAGGGCCAGTTCTGCGAGGTAGAACTTCACATCTTCCTCTGTAAACAGCACCTAGAATAAAATGATGAGTTACCATATGATCTTTCTTTCAGTATTGAATATTTTTTAATCTACTTCTCTAAAAACTAGTAGGCAGACAAATTTAGGCAAATAGTAAGAAAATAAGCATAGTCAACTCTTGTTTAACTGGCATCATTATTGGGAAAATAAGAGATTTCTACATAGATGAAACTGATCTCTTTAAGAACACTTCTCTTCAATATTAACCATTTTAATGTTAATATTCCTAAAACATACTATGCTATTTGTATATCTTCTTACACAGAATGTACTACACAAGATTAACCTTATTTAATGACTTGATGTCATAATACCAACATTAATTTTAGTACTCCGCTATAATATAGTAATGCCCACAGGGTGTTTGAAATATAAAAGATATTTTGTTTTAGAACTGGTAATTCTACTATTTCTATTATTCTCTCATTCACTGCAGTTGTTTAGATCACTTCTCAGGAACGTCACTTTTGGCAGCTCTACTAATCCAAAATTTTTAAACCACTACCACAAGTTGTAAAATTAGTAACCCTTATCCTACAATTCTAAACTCTTCTCTGATCTAAGGGGTAACTGCAAGCTTCTTCTGTAAGTAAAATATATTAATTTAATAGCATCGTATTTTCAATCTTTTTTTTTTTGCCTGGAAATAGAGCTATGATCAAGTTAAAAGAATACTGGACTTGAAATAAGAATTGTCAGCATAAATTCAAACATGTCACTTAGCCCTCTGGGTCTAAAGTTTTAAATTTGCAAATAAGATAATAATATCTGCTATATCTACCTAACAAGTTGTTGTAAGAATAAAATTAATGTAGAAAAAAAACTGTACAAGCTGTAAAATGCCATGTGTACAAACAAAAGGTTTTTATTATTGTTACAGGTTTATATCTAGATTCATTCATAAGTGAGTGTTAATTTACACAAAGTATTGGGCATAACTAAACCATTAGATGCATTTTTTTTTTTGAGTTGTAGTCTCACTCTGTCACCCCGGCTGGAGAGCAGTGGCATGTTCCAGGTCACCGCAGCCTCGACCTTCTGGGCTCCAGTAATCCTTCTGCCTCAGCCTTCCAAGTAGCTAAAACTACAGGCACGCACTACCACGCCTGGCTAATTTTTTATTTATTGTAGAGATGAGGCCTTGTCAAGTTGCCCGGGCTTGTCTCAAACCTGCAGGCTCAGGCAATCCACTCACCTCAGCCTCCCAAAGTGCTGGGATTACAGGCTGAGTTACCGATTTTTAAGGTTTACCAAGTGCTTCAGACTGGCAAATATTTTTTTTTTTCTACAAATAGATTATTTTCATTAAAGGAACCTCTGGATTATTGAGAAGGCTCAAAATTTGAAATAAAATACATGTCATAAAATCTTACAACCTGCTTGCCCTTCAGAAACATAGTCACTGCATTTCACAATGCAAATAAATCCAAACTACTAGTAAAATTGCAGAGAGGAAACTTCATCTACTTTTAAAATTGATCAATAGAAAAACAAAGATTGTTCATTTTCTAAGTATCAAGAGCATTAATTTGAATATTGTGGTGGTAAAAGTATAAGAACTTCGTTTCGCTTGACTTTTTATTTTATTTTTATTTTTTGAGTTGGAATCTCACTCTGTCATCCAGGCTGGAGTCCCGTGGCATGCTCACACCCATTGCAGCCTTGACCTGCTTGGTTCAGGTAATCCTTCTGCCTCACCCTTCCAAGTAGCTGGAACTACAGGCATGCACCACTATGCCCGACTACTTTTTTTTTTTTCAATTGTAGAGATGAGGTCTCGCCAAGATGCCCAGGCTGGTCTTGAACCCCCGGACTCAGGCAATCCTCTTGCCTCAGCCTCCCAAGGTGCTGGGGTTACAGGCTTGAGATACTGTGCCTGGCCAGCTTTTTATTAAGAATATAAATGTTACTTATTTAGCTCCTTGGTAAGAATAATCAAATATTCATTGAAACCTAACACATTAGAAGACCCTGAAAAAGAAAATCAAAAAACTCTAAATTAAGGAAAAACACTGCCTACGTTATAGTTTATGGCAAGCCTATCACCCTGTCATGAGGTTGGCAAAGCCTCATGATGTATGCAAATAAGAAGCTTATTAAGCAGCAATCATGTGTCAGGCACTGTACATTCATTTTGTTGTTGTAATCTTCCACATTCTATGAGGTAGCAATTATCAATATCATATACATGGAGAAAGAGAATCAGAATAACACAGCTAGTAAGAAGGAAGCTCAGAATTTGAACTCAAAGAATGACCTCTTCCTCAGAAACCACTTCTGCCACATGCCATGTATTTTTAAAAGTTTTACCTTCACTACCAATAAAGCTTTCCTACCCAAATATCATCCTACTCATAAATCCCCCTCAAAAAGAAAATCATCCTAATCTCCAGTACTTTGAGGTAAGCACTTAATCTTTTGTCATCTGCTCTTCAAGTCTTTTATGTATGTATGACTGTGTGAGTGTGTTTTAATATAGCTGAAATCATACCACTGTATATATACTATTTATTGGCCTCCTTTATCCCACTTAATATAATATCATAAGCATACTCCTATACCTTTAAAACTTATTTATAAACAGATTTCAATGGCTACAATATGACCACACTAATTTACCACAATTTACTTAAATGTTCCCCTTCTGGACATTTAGATTATTTCCTGTTTTACACGATTTTAAATAACTCTGCAAAGTACATATGAACATCTTTATTGATATTTATAATTATTTCCACAAAATGGATTCTTAAGAAATAAAACTGGAAATACTGGGTCAACGAGCATAAATAGCCAAAGATCCCTGGCACAAACAAAAATTTTTTTTCCAAAAAGATTACAGTAATTTCTACTCCCATCAGCAGTTTATGAAAGCATCTCTTACCACATCCAAGACAGAACTGAATGTATCCTTTAAAAATGATTTTAAATTTCATATAAAAATAGCATCTATTTTCTTTTCATTTAAATTTTGATTCTTAGGCTAAACATTTTTTCAAGTTTAGTGGTGTTTCTTTTTTGTGTGTGAATTATCAGTAATATTTTTGTCTGTTTCCCATTATTGACTTACTGTTTTGTCAATTGGTACAAGTCCTTTAAATATTAAAAATGTCAGCTCTCCATTAAATTAGTTGTAAATATTTTTCCAACTTTGTACTGGTTTTTAATGGTCAGCAATTCCTAACTTTATGTAAGTTTCTACATCATTACTATATAATTTTTCTTCATTGCTTTAAGGAGATTTTCTCCATTCAATAGTCAACTAACTATTCAGAAGCATTTTCTTTTTAGGTTTTCCAGATTTAGCTCTTTAATTAATGTAAGTAAAATACATTTTAATGTAAGTAAAAAACTAATTTCTCAAATACTATTTACTGAACAATCACTTTGCCACTAACACTGATTCTTTATCACAGTAATATATGGTAAGTCATATATAACAGTATATTTTTGGGCTATACAGCATGTTCCTGATACTATATTGATATTATATTTTGCATATGGAAGTTTTTAAAGATTTAAGCAAGAAGTAGAGCAGGAAGAGGGTGTTTGTTATTATCAAAATTTCTTATTTCTTTGCATTTGTTTACTTTTACAGATAAACTGTAAAATAATTCTGTCAAATTCAAACAAACAAAAATTCCCATTGTTAAGTCAATAAATTAATTTTGGAAGAAACTGACAGCTTTACAATAATCAGTCATTCATTCCACTATATTTTCTTTCTTTCTTTTTTAAGTAAGGCACATCTTAATAGCTTGGTATGTTTGTACGTGCATGCATTTTGGTGAAGAGAAATTTGAGGAGGCACTTTTCCCTTTAAAATATGAATAAATAAAACACATTATAAAGTTATTTCACACATACAAAAAATGTATTTTAAAATGTCTTTTTCTAAGGCAAAAAAGATAAGTCCTCATTTTTGGATTACTTAGTGATTTTTTGTACATACAAGTGAAGAATAAACAACAAACTACTTATTAACAGACTGTCTATAGAAGTAACCAATGAATCATTTTTTAAAAGCCTGGTCAATGAACGTACTAATTTATTATCTTTTGGGAAATGCACTTAAAATGCTTGCTCTTACCTAATATTCCAGACTTAGGAATCAAAACTTACTGACTGCATCTCTGTGCTAGTATGGGTTTAGATAGTCCCACATCGAGAATGGAGGTCTGAAGAGTTTAAAAGAAAAGTAGAAATGACTACAAGTAAGAATTTCTCAAATACATTTTTGACACTTCTACAATCCAAAACAAGAAATTATGACTATTGGAGCCTTGTTAATACTATTGGCTCTCTGCTTTGGGACCAACTTTTAACATGGTCCCTTAAAGACCCTCCTTGGAAGGGGGTCCTAGACAGATGCTACCATACACTGAATTCTGTTCTATTGTGAACAGTATATCAAGAACGCACTCTATGCTCATGCATGGCACATTCTACACTGTAGGTAAATAGATATAAGCCAGAGATCTTAGCCGCTTAAGCACTGGCTAGCATCCCAGAAGCACACTGTTCCTTCTTTACAGCAAGTTCCAGAGCCCTTGGAACCAATGGTAGCTCACCCAAACTTAACATTGTAAATTCTGAAAGTGACATGTTGAACCACTATCATGCAATTAAAATGCTTCTTGCAGACTACTGCTTCAAGACAAAATGAAGTAGACAAGGGCATTAGTTAATCTTACACCCGAAACATCTAAAACACAGAACAAAATATATGAAATGAAACTTTTCAAGACACTGGACATCAGGCAACAAAAGACAGTGAATACTGAGAGACAGGGAACAAACAAGGTATGCCCTACAACTGCCCTAGCTTACTACCTGGGAAGAGTTTCCATGTGGTGTACAGGGAGGACTAAGTTAGGTGGAGCCCAGAAGACTTCCTGATTTGGCAAGTTGGAGCAGAAAGTCTGGAAGTAGGAGAAGGATGAAATTCACAGTATAGAATACCAGAAAAGAGAGAATTGTGCAGAGAGAAT